TTATTTCTGCCTCACTTAAAGGGTTAAAATCCCTTTCCACGGCTACACCCTCCCTCACACGGGCTGGGCTGGAACACTTGCACTGAGCCCAAAGTCCACCCCAAGCCTGCCAGCGCAGCTCCTACCTTGATGCCCACGTTGGTGTTGTGGATGTCCACCTTGGCCCGCAGGTCTTTGCCGATCCTCTTCTGCCCCAGGAACTTTTTCAGGAACTTGGTGCTGTACTTGAGGTTGTCCCCGCAGACTCCCCACTGCCAGGCCTTGCGGTTCTCCAGCCCCGGGGAGTCGTCGCAGGTGCAGCGCTCCATGCGCCCCGCGCTGCACGCCCGCGCCAGCGAGTGCGTCAGCGCGGCCGAGGACACGGCGTACAGGAACGCTGTCTCCTTGAAACCTGCGGGGACAACGGGGTGGGGAGATGGCAGGGGAAGGCCTTGTTAAGCCTCTAAAGGAGGGAAATGATGCCTTGGGTTTTAGCTTTTGTATTTTTAGAACCTCTGCTGCTTGGGGTGTAACTCTGAAACTTTATATCGGGTGTTAGTGAGTTCTCTTCACAGGGGAGAATTCCTTTCTAGCTAGAGGATGAAGGACAGCTGGTAACCAAAAATCAGAAACAATGGCAAGGGAAAGAGGGCAAGCCAGGGGGCTGAGACTTCATAACCTGAGGCTGTGGTTGGATAATTGACTCCTAAATGAACCAAAACTTATAAAGTGTAAAAACTCGTGACCAGGATCCACCTTGGATTTGATTTGGGTATAGCACTGGCAGGGCTCTTGCACTGCCCAAGGTGAATCCTTTCAATAAATACAAATTTTATTCCTTTTGCTCTGTCTAGTCTCTGTTCCAAGTCAGCCTTTCCAGGCACCTCCCTGCCTCTCCTGCCTGTCCATGGACTAAACACAAGCACAATAATTAGAAGAACCAAGAGACAAAACCCCTTGGGTGTTCCCACTCCTCCAGCAGAGGAGCACAGATTGAAGTGATTGTTGTAGTGACACCCCAGTCTCACCCATGACTGTTCAATGTGGACAAGGGAAGGGTGGCAACCAACAGTCCCGGGGAAACACCCAACTGCAAAAAGTGACAGCCACCAAGCTGTTTGTCCCCAGCATGGAGCTGATGGGTGCAATTACAGACCAACCGTCATTGAAATCATGTTGTGCCATACAATCAGGAAATCTGTAGTAGAGACTGAGAAAGTGTCTTAAAATCCAACCTGTTATTTAAAAATGTTTTTAATTGGGACTGCAGCAGTATTTTCTATGAAAAGACCACATGTGGTTGGAATGAGAAGGGTTCCATGTTGAAGGACATCTTGGCAAGAAGGAAAACCCTCACGTGTGTGGGTTTCCTGAACTCCCTGTGAATTGTCTGCTCCCAGTGACTGTGGGGTGTGTTCTGAAGCTGTTCTCCTCCCCACAGCAGGATTCCCAGCTTGGCTACACTCCCTGAGGTTGTGGTGTGACTATGACATTTTAACCAGGAAACAAAGTACAGAAGCTGAATGAAAATTCAATGTGGAGACGTAAGATCAGACAGGAATAGGAATATTGATACCCATGAGCTTCACAGAAGTTTCAGAAACTCTGATTGACACAAACCTGACCCAAACACAAAAATATTTTATTTATTTATTTATATTTACCTTCTCTCCTATTCAGTCCTGGGGAAAATCTTAGTATTTCCTCTAGAGTTCATTTGCAGGGAAAAAATTATTAATGGGAAATTGCTTAACAAGTCAAAAATTTAGGAATTAGTACAAGGAAGAGAGAGACAAGTGACTGATCAATAGCTCTGAGTGCAGGAATGGATAAGATCAGCCAAAATAGAAAAAGTTTGGTTTGTAGGAGATAGAGCACTTATACATCACATGGGAGAAAACATAATGAAGCAACCAAATATTCCACATGGGAAAATTCCAAATTTCCTTCCACATAAAAGGAAAATCTGTTTTCCCCAGTAATGGAAGAGAGAGAGACAACCACAGAGACTTTAGATAAAGATCTACCAACAGCATGGACATGAGAGGAGAGTCAGGGAAATATGGAGGAGATCAAGGACATCAACCAACCTTCTGCTCCCTCCCTCACCATTTTGACTGCTGTAACCACTGGGGCAGTAATTTGAAATTAATCTTTCTGGTTTATGATCCTCTACAAATTTCTAAGGGTACTCTAAAGATAATGGAAGAATGTCACCAAATCCACCAAAAGTTTTGTAAAAGCTGGAATGGGACATGGTCAATGCAGGCTGTGGACAGCAGCATGATGCTCACACATTTTCAAACAGTGTCTAAGGCTCTCCAAAGGAGCTAAGAGAGGGTAACTGATACCTGAGATCCGAAATCAGCAGCCAATGTCCAGATGCTTCCCAGATTCCCACCATCCCCTGTGGGACACAGGTCCCAGAAGTGAGGAGAGCATTCCGGAGCCTGCCCAGCCATGAGGAGCCAGCAGCCCCGTCGGCTCCACAGCCCCTGCTAAATCTGACTCTGTGGATCACCACACTGCTCCTGCTATTTCAGATACTTTGGTTTCCCCATGTAAGTCCTGGCCAGTTTTCAGCCCACTGGAAATCAGAGGCTGTGGCTGTGGTCAGGCCACTGCAGACAGCAGCAACTGCAGATAGCCAGCAGATTTGAAATGTCTCCTTCAAACAAAGCTTCAGCATCACCAGGCTGCCAAAGGCTTCTCTGAAAAGTCTAAGATGACTCCCCCCACTTTGTCATGAGGACTCAATCACCATTTAATGTTAATTCACAAAACAAATGAAAGAAGTTAAAGTTGTCCTTCAGGCCTTGTGGAAAGTGCAGCAGAGCAGCTGCTGGAGCTGGATTTTCAGGAGGACACACCACAAATGGCAGTGATCAGCTCCAAGGAGCACAGTTTGGGATGTGAACAGAGGTTACTCCATGTGTGCTGCTCTCTCTCCTCACACAGTGACAACAGAGCCCCTGTCACCACAGGCAGTGGGGCCTGGGCTGGGGATGGGTCACTCCCCTGACCCCACTGAGGGGCTTGTCAGGGACAAAATGGGATCTGAAATTCGGTGCAGGGGGAACATCTGGGCGCAGATGTGCAGATGTCTGTGCTGGGCAGTTTGGCTGCAAACACCCAGCACAGAGATGAATGTCAGGAGGCTGCAGCAGAGCAGCTCCCTCTGACAGGACCTTCCATGTGTCCAAGCCCTGCCCTGAGCTCTCCAGAAGGATTTCTTAGCCTGGCAGCCTCTAAATACAGAAGGACTTTCCTGCAGTGGCACCACTGTTGTGTGCTGTGGTGTGCTCAGACCACAGGGAAAATTGTAACAGGAGGAGTTTAGCTCTGGGGTGACTCTGCCAAGGAAAGATGCTCAGGGTCAGAGGCTTTTCAGTGCTGTAGTGAAGGAGTGTGAGCATGTCAGAGCAGGTGGAGGAGGCATCTCTCTGAAAACAACAGCAAAATCAACCAAGAAAAGCTATAGAGGTATAGAAAGATTTAGGATTGAAGGATTCCTGAGGTCTTTAGAACAGCCTCCTGCTCAAAGCAGGGCTGGCTCCAATGCCAGCTGCTCAGGGCTTTGTCCAGCTGACTTCTCCAAATCTCCCATCATGGAAATTCTGTGTCTGTGAGTCACCACTCCTCTGCTGTACCATTCCTGGATTCCTCATGACAACAGGGAAACCACTGCTGGAAGGTCAGAGTCCAGCCAGCAGGAGGCAAAGGAATGGATTAAGGGATGGAAGGATTGCAGAGCACTCATTTCTCAAGAAGGATTTTTTGAGTGGCTGGTTCTGACCTCTTTGCTAAAGGTATTTATTTCCCCAGATCACTGAGTTGTTTGAGATTAAATCCTGCTTTTCCTGACTTCCAGCAGCCCTTAATGGCACACCCAGGACACCATAAGGTCATCTCTGCTTCCCGTGTTTTATAAAGATACCAACTGTCCCTGTGTAACAAGGTGCCTTGAAATCATTTAAACTCTAACTCTTTCCATCTTTAATCTTTAAAGAACTGGAGAAGGAATGCAGGAGGATTTTGCATGGATCACTGAGGAGCAGTAAGTCACTGCCATAAGTGACAGTGGCCACAGAAAGGTTGCAGGTTATGCAAAAGGAGTTTCCCAGTTGTACCCAGAGAACGATCAAGAGCAACAAATAGTGCAGACTGGTAAAACAATCTGGCATTTCAAGGAGCAGAAAACTCTTGGCTTGTTTTTAGTTTGGTTTTTGGCATCTCTAGAAGCAGAAAAAGCTCTGATGATCCAGTCACAGCAGTTTGTCAGTTGTGATTGCAAATTGAGTGTGGCTTTTCAAATGTTACAAAAATGCCCCATCTCACTGAGAAGGACCTTTTTCACTCTTCTGCAATCTTAAGACCATTTAGGACTGCTGAAAATATGTATTTTTATTCATGGTTTCTCTAGGACCACGGAGACATCAAATTATTTCAGCATTTCTAAAATGCCTCGTCACTGCCTGGGTGACAGGAGAGTTGCATGACCAACAATTTCCAACAAAGTTCCAATAAATAAACACAAACAGATCAAAAGTGGCAGCTGAAAGCATTCATGTTCTTTATGAAAGAAACAAACCCCTTTGCAAGCTAAAGGAAAATGAGAACTAATAATTGCTCCCAGCCAAGTGTCCTGTCACACAGGGGGTGCACACAGCATACTTGGCTGTATTAAATCATCATTTGATCCTTAAGATTGTGTAATAAAACTTTTCAAACACTTATCCCCATCTGCCAAAACAGGTTTGAAATTACAGGTGATATTTTATTTTGTCAGTCAGAAGCCCATGGAAATGTTAAGGCATGCCACTGCCAGATAATTAAATGTTTTCCAGCTATTTGAAGATGAGGATTATTCAATTGTCATTTTCAAGTTCTTTGAGGCTGATGAAGGTGCAGATGTGAGAAAGACTCAAAATGATCACGAACAGCTCCTTCCACCTCCTGCTAAAAAATTCACAGTAGAGCCTTGCAATGAAGAAAATCTGATCTTGCATGTGGTGACTTAATAAAATATTGATATTTAATGTGATAAAAATTGATAATTTTAAAAGGAAACATTAAAAAGTTTTTGATCTCAATGTTAATTAAAAGTAGCATTGATTTTCTTCAAAATTAATATTGGCTTCTTCAGGTCCTTTTTTTAAAAAATTAAGTTTCTAAACATTATCAAAGGACTGAAAGTCAATGAATCTGAAGACTGCAGCTTAGTAAATGCTAATAGAAGTTATTGAAGGGCTGAAACTCTGTAACAGTCAGGCTTTGGTTGGATCAGGACAGGTCTGGCAATTTCTATATGCATTCCCTGGGAATCTTTATTAAGAATTAATCTCAGGGTCCATCTTCATTGTATTTTTCTCAAGCATTGGAAGGATTTATTATATTCCCTTCTACCTGAAATCCAGACCTTACAGGACAATTTCTTCATCTAAAGCATTTTGGGAAACAAAAAGGCAGTGGGTCTTCTGTCCACTGTGCCCAAATTTCTCCAAATTTATGTAAAAGAGAAAAAAAAAATCTCTCTTAGGAGAGATTTGCCAACATGCACTGAGATGTCTGCCTGCAGATAAATAGGTTTTTCAAACAATAAACAGGTTTAAATTTAAAATTGTTTAAATTCTCAAATCTCTTGCATTTGAGAATACCAGAGGCTTACATACACGAATATCCAAGGCACTGAAAGGATTTTTTTCTTTAACTGTGCCCTGCCCTGGAGCACTGCCAGCATCACCCAGCTGAGGAGGGAGCTCAGTGTCAGGAGCTCTGCTCCAGCCAAGGATGTGAAACCTCCTCCCACTCGCCAGTCCCTGACAAACCGTGCTGGAAGATGAGGACAAAATTTATTTTGTGCCAAAGGAGCCCGAACTGCGCCGCTGCCACGGCACTGCCCGTCCGCTCCTGCCTGTGCTGGAATTTGGGACATCCCGGGGGCTGCACCCCGACTTTCCCCGCACCCCAACTACCTTGTACCTCTCTTGAGCAGGCTGGGCCGGCCCTCCAGGCTGCAGTTCCAGCGCTCGCTGCGGAATTGGAACTGGCACTCGAGGATGCCCAGGCGGATCGCGTCCCGCAGCGTCTCCGCCAGCCCCGGCTCCCTCCGGCACAGCCGCTTCTGCTTGCGGGACAGCTGCAGCAGCTCGCACTGCTTCTGGTGCCCCTTGGCCGGGCCCGAGCCCCCCGGGGCCCCCAGCGATGGGAAATGGCTCAGAGCTTCCTTCCCGGTCAGGCTGCAAGGAGAGAAGCGGGAGAAGCGGCGAGTTAGGGAGGAAATCCCGGGATCGCGCAGGGTCAGGCTGGGCAGGAGCTCTGAGCCACCCTGAGCCACCCTGCCCATGGCACTGGGTGGCCTCGAAAGCTCCATTCCAGCCCACACCAGCTCGGGATTCTGTGATGATTCTGAGATCACCATCATGGGAAAGGTGGAGAACGGGAGGATATTCACAAAGCTGCAAGTCGGGCATTTGTTATTTGTTATTTGAGGTTATTTGAGAGCTTATTTGTTATCACCCAGTGCTGGTGAAGGTGCTGAAGCCACATCAAGCTCAGAGATTAATCAATACAGATTGATTAATTGATACAGATCTGGTATCCCATTCCCACCACACACCAGGACAAATTCCCAGACTGATGCCGTGGGGAGGAGGAGAAACCCATGTGTGCTGTCAGCAGCAGCCCAATGGAGAGAAGGTGACAGCAGCCATTGAAGGGTCACAGCACAGCCCTGGCTGCTGCTCGCTGTGTCACAGCTCTGTGTGACTCCTAAAGGCAGGAGCCAGCTCCTTCCCAGGGTGTGTGTGCACTGCTACCACACCCCACAGCTTGGAAAGGCCATTACCAGTGACCACCTCCCTCCACAAGCATGAGCTTTGCTGGAAAACATATCCTTGCTGAAAAAAAAATACAGGAAAGGTCAAATAAAAATGTCCCGCCAAATGCAATGGCAATGCATTTATGTGTTAATGCAATTCAGCTGAAAAATGTCATAAATATTGGAGATAAATGGTTTTGCTTTCCATGGCAAGACAATTTTTCTCTTGCAAAACTCAGCTGATATCTTCAGGATGCTTGCAATCACAGAGAAATTATTTTACTTTGATGCAGGATTTAGGGGCTGCAAGCTGGGAGCAGTTGTTGTGCAGTAGCACAGCACTGACCAGGAGTGTGTCACCTGCTTCCCAAACCCAGCCTCACAGAGAGCCTCAACCCCCGCCCCAAAAAATTCCCAAACCAGACAGATCAAAGGAAATATTGTGGAACCTTTATTTTTGGACACTTCTCCTTCATGATGGAGGATGCAAGTCAAGCAGTGCAGCTGTGATTTGTGTGATTTGAGTCCCCCCTGTAGTTTGTAGATACACAATGTGTGCTCCTGAGCTGTTCCTGAGATATTTTCTAGATTTCCCTGTAGTCAGCCCAGCCTATCCAGGCACAGGAGTTGGAGCACAGCTCTGCTGACCTGATCCCACAGCACCCTGTACCCATTCTCAGGAGAATACAACGCCCAGATGTGCTCACACAGCTGTAATTAAGAACAAAGGCAATTAACTAACACACCTCTGGACTCACCCAGAGACCTGCAAACTACCCAAGGACCTTGGAACCCTTCTGGATCAAACCAGGGCTGAACCTTAGAAACCAAGTGGGTGAAAAGAATCTCTCCCTGCCGTTGTCACTGCTGGGCTGGGGGCAGAAACAGTGAGCCAAGGAATAAAGAGGCAATGCTGGAAACAGAGACAGAGCATTGGGGCCAGGCTGTGCTGAGGAAACTCCAATTAACACGGCTTGATGAGCTTCAGAGGGCAGCTCAGACTGAGGGGTCAGAGCCTTGCCTGGCCCCAAGCCCTGCCCAGAGGCTGCTCCAGGCAGAGCTGAGCTGGAGGAGGTGCCCTGAGGGACACGAGATTGACCCAAGGCACTGAGACCAAGCCGTGGTGAACCAGCTTGGGCTTTGCCTGGCTCACCCTGGTGCTTGAAACCCAACACACTTTGGTGAACCAACCTTTCACAGGAGCGGGATGTCCCTGGGAACACAAGCACACGCTGGGCACAAGCTCTGAAACTCAAGATTAGGATGTGCTAACATTTGCATGGGCAGGGACAGGCTCAGAGGTCAGCAAAAGTCTGATTTAGGGGTGTTCAGACAGCACCCAGCTCAGTGGCACAATGCTGGGCTCAGCAGAGGAGCTGCTCTTATGTCAGAATAAAACCCTGTCCCCGAGCCTGGACTTTGCCTGGCAGTGGGATTCCAGCACTGACATCCCAGAGAAGTGCACGTTTCAACAGGTGGAGTGGGAATGTGGCTCCTCTCCCTTTGCCATGCAGTGTCTGTGCTCCCAGGTACCAAAGATTCCCGAGCTCATATCACTGGGAGAGGAAATAAGGAAGTGGGAGATGCCACTGAAGAGTTTAAGAGCCTGAAATAACAGCACAAATCACTGCTGAAAGCACGGCTGCAACATTCCCAAACTCCATTCCCAAACTACTGACTGCCCAGGTGCCAACAGAGCTGCCACCCCTGCCAGGCATCCTCCCTCCCCAAAATCCCCTCCAGGACAAAAACATCTCCCCTCTTGCCAGTCTCCATCCTGAGTTTAGTGCCCTGAATTCCAGCTAAAACATCTTTCATCCCTTGCCAGGTACTTCAGTCAGCAGTTCACTGACTATTCAGACCAACCAGCCCTTCCTAGGAAAGGTGTGAGCAGCCCTGAGCCTTTCCCTTTCCAGGGAAGAGCAGGAGCTCAGGGCAGACACTCGATGGCTCCGACTCCAGAGGAGTCCCAGGGTGTGACCTCAGCTGGGAAAAAACTCGAGAACTGCAAGAGAGCTGCTCACTGATGGTTCTTGCCATTGCACATGCTCATCCCAAGAGCCCAGGGTATTGGCCAAAAATCCATGGATCCCTTCTCCTGGGGGACAGGGAGAGCAGGCAGTGCAAAGCAAGAGCCATCAGGTGAATGTGAAGTCAGAAATTCAGCCCTTGAGCAGACACAGTCTCACTAAAGGTTCCCCCAGGTTTGTTGGGGAGTTGATGAATTTCGAGTGGCAGCTCTAAAGCCGAGACTGTGAAGTTTTCTGTAGCCCAGGGGTGTCTGATTCACATCCAGGTGCTGACTCAGGAAGGAAAAAAGGTGCAGAGGTATTGCTGGAACCTGTGTGAAACTGAGCAAAGGTGGCAAAGGGATCTTCAAGACTTACAAGAGATCTGATGAATGACACAAACCAGGGAGGAGCTGTCCTGGACAAGCTCAGAGAAACTCTAAAACCAGAGTAGAATTGGTGGGCAAAGGTTAAATACAGAATAGTGGAGAGGAGTCACCACAAGTTCTGTGGAAGGTGGTCACTGCACACACAGACCGAGGACAAGGCAGATGTTAGTGTCTGCTTGGACATGTACAGGTGACAGATTTCCAAAATAGCTCATTTAAGATAGGCTGGATACCTTCCACAATTCCCACCAGGAGAAGAAGGGACAGCAGGAGAACACAGGGCTGTGGAAGCAGGACTGGCCTCCAAGGGAGTAAAAATTATTCTGATCTCTAAAATAGAGTAATCAGGGGGAATGGTGATAATTTATTAAATTTTAGATGTAAAATAAATGAGGCTGTAGCTAAACTTGCAGCCCTTCTCAATGCAGGGCACAAGGAATGCTGAATTATCCATGTATTCATACAAACCATAAAATAAAGGGGACATTAAACACAGAGATACTTTGACACAGGAAATTTTGGATGTGCAAACTGCCAGAAGCTGGGAAAGATTCTGAGGGAGCATCTCAGTCTGCCACCCTACTTCTGTTCATGCTTTTGGCTTCACATCTGTTATTACCCAGTACTGAGAAGCCACATCAACCTTTGTCCTGAGTTTTACAGTCCTGGACAGGGATTATCTCAAAGATGTCCTTTGGCCATGACACCCACTGGGATTTGGGAGAAGGTGGCATTGCCATTCTCCAGGTTCTGAAGGATGTTGGGTGCTAATATTTGTACAAGAAAGGCACCATAAAAATATTTGAACAATTAAATTCCATTTCCAGAGCAATCTCAATAGTGCACAGCAAATACAGCCTAGGACCACACACAGATACTGAGCCTAATTCATCATTTTCATCATTCAGAGCAAAAGATTCATGGGAAAAATACTTCCTAAAACTGGACCCAGCAACACTTTAAAATCTGAAAGAGGTAATGCACCATCCTACACAGATAGTTTGCACAGGCAAATCTACTTAATATTTATTATTATTTTTATTATTGTTGTTGTTGTTGTTGAACTTCTGAAGTTGCAACAAATGGAGTAACTTGGTTTTCCTCTAAAACAGGAGGTCAGAAATAACCAGGTGGATAGAACACAGTTAATGAAATAAGCAGTAAATTGGTTAATCCTGTTCTAAACCAAAGCTAGAACACACTTTCCTGTGACAGTGTCCCTCACACTTGTCACCTCAAGCAGGGCAATGTCAGCAGGAAATAATTATATAAATTATATATATTATAATTATATAAATTATATGAGTAATTCCACCACTCTGAGGCTGCCAGGATCAGGAGTCTCAGAGCCCAGGCACAGCTCCCAAAACTCATCTGTCACACAACTTTCAATTCAGACAAGCAGCAGAGGAATCCAGGGAGGTGCCCAAGGCCAGGCAGGTGCCAGTGGCACAGCTGGGAGCAGAAGCCACTCTGAGAGCCAGGACAGGCACCGAGATTGCCCTGTGTGAGTGGAGGCTCTGCAGGCTCCCACCACAACTGTATTTTATCAGGGCAGAGCCAACACAGGATCTGATCAAGATCAGAGTATGCAAACATTTGTACAAGACTGTATATAAAATATGCAGATATTTGCAGTCAGGCAAACTGCATCGTTTTAGATGATTTAGAGTTTATTATCTACAGATCATACAGCAAAGAAAGTGAACTCTTTGAATTAATGCACACCTGCTCACAATCTGAAAGAACAATAAGGATCTCCAACTTTATTTCTCTCTCCTTTTCTGTCTAAGCACTTTGCTAAATTCATCTATTTCCTTTAATCTCCTTCCAGCCACATTCCAGCTGCTTAAGAGACTTTTAATGAGAGCCTGTTCCTGTGCAATGCCCAATGTCCTCTGGATCTGAAAGGTCTTAAAAACCAGTAAAAATATGCCTTTCCTACCTCTCCCAAGTAAGGGGAAAATCAAAGCAGCCCACAACAGGACTCCATATCTGATTTCAGGGGCCTTTCATGTTCCACAGGAATATCTACACCCCACAGAGAGCTGCAAGGAGCCTTCAGGAAAGGCTGAATGTGGGGCATGGTGGATTGAACCAAGGCCCGTGCAGTGCACAGAGGTCCCCAGCTCTGTCAAACACAGTTTTCATCCTTTCAGAAACAGCACAATTTAATCCTCCCCATTTGTCCCTGGAGAAAGGATGGCCTGTGAGTGTTGCACTGTTGTGACTGATCAGGATTGTTCCTCTGCTTTGTACCCCACTGCCTGCAAAGGAGATGGCAGAAATCCCCAGAGCATCTAAACTATAAATCTCAATAATCAGTATTGAGATTTAACAGTTGATATCAAAGCTTTTTACTTTCCTCCATCAGAGTTGTCATTTCAGCCCCTCGGGCAGCTGTCTCTGTACCTGTTATCCTCCAGGTTTTCTATCAAGTTTCTGCTCCTGACAACGAGAAAAAGCTTGACTTAAAACCTCAGATGAGTTCACATGACACTGTGAATCAGAATCCTTTGAGATGGATTGTTTGCTGTTTGCTGCAAGCCCTGTCTGGGAGCAGTAACAGATGATGTGTCCAGGTCCAGACTCATTTTTTAGAAAGAATTCTCCTGAAGTTCCACAGAGATCAGGATATAAAATTCCTGCATCAGAAGAGCTGCCAGTTTGGGAGGAGAGGAAATATCCAGCTCAGGCTCCTGCACAGGGCTCTCCATCCTCACCTGCTCTGGGCTCCCACAGTCTGGACATCCTTGGTTTGGCTCCTTCCACCTCCCAGCTCAGCCACAGGAAATATCTCCATGTGGATCCCAATTCCAGGGCACCACTGGGCAGTCATTACAGGGGAGAGCAGATTTTCAGTCTAACTCTGGACTGGCCACATTCCCCAGAGCATTCCTGGCAGGAAACACTCAGCACCCAGTGGGATGGGTTTTTAGAGCCTGTGCTACACTGAGATAGTGACTAGAGAGAGTCTGGGAGCTGAGAGAATCAAAAAGCATCCATGAAATTCTTTCCCTCTGCAATGCATCTGCAGCCCCACAGCCCCTCTGCTCAGACTCCATCCTCAGTCTACCAAATTCAGCTGAAAATTTCCTTCCCTCTCCGTTTCTGCTCTTTCTCTCTCTTTTTTAATACCCCAGTATTCTGTGTGACTGACAGTGACAACACTGATGTTGTAACAAACCTTCCTGAAAGAGGATTTGTCCTTTGAGGAACAATGCAGCAGCCTGTAAATAATATCAGCATTTAATTATCAGCTCAATAGGAAGAGAAATATCCTCAGAAACCTTTCCAAGAGCACTCAGAACTGGACACCAGAGTCACTGTTTGAGCTTATTTGGCCCATTAGATTGATCAGGGAAATGCTGCAATAAGACATTTACCAAATAAAACAATGGAATGTGGGTAACTGGGCTAATGGGATGGAAACCAAGGCTTGCTGGACATCTCTAGAAGGGCACAGGAGATGTGAGGACAGCTTTTTTAGGGATGATCATATTTACTTTAAGGTATCATTTGACATATGATGCTGTTTCCAAAACTATGCAAGGCCCAGATTAAATACCCTGTGAGTCACGTGCTGCTTTTACCCTCTAACAGCTCCCAAAATTCCTTCCATCAGGAAATGAGCAAAAATTGTGCCACTGGCTTTGTTGGAGCAGAACCAGCAGTAAATCCAGAGGGCATGGGTAGGCAAAAGGAGCTGTGAGCTCAGCCAGAGCATCCTGAGAGATCCCAGGCACCCCTGCAGCCCCCACAGGAATTTCAGGCTGAGTTATAAAGAAATCTGCCCATGGAGCAGGGGCCAGCCTGGCCCATGGGTGAGACACGTCCCAGCCTGTTCCCAGCTTTGATCAGGTTTGGTTCTTCCACCTTCCCACCAACCTCCTACCTGGGGTGGGTCTGCTCTGGATTCTGCCCTGGGAGAAGCTCTTTGCCCTCCAGCACATCCTAAATGCCTTTTCACCTTCTGAAACATGAACAAGGAGACAACAGGAGGCTTCGAGCTTTTAATGAGGTCTGGAGACATTCCCACCACCTGAGGAGCTGAACATCCTGAGAGGAAAAGCAGGAAAAGGAGGGAATGCCTCACAGGAGGCTGCAGGGTGGGGGAGGATTGAAGCCAAGGTGGGAGCAGAAGCAGCACAAAGGGAGTCAGGGGGTGAGGACACTGCTGGATTCCTGCCTCCAGAGAGCCAGGCAAGCCCAACACTGCCCCAGCAACAGCCAGGCCACCTTTCACACAGGGCTTCCCTTCTCTCCCTCTCCTGAAAGCAGGTTTTAGTTTATCCCTGGGGACCCAGCACCAGCTCAGGATCTGCTCAAGCACAGCCAGTGCACAGACCCCAGTGAGCTCCAGGTACTGGGAATGGGGTCAGAGCTCTGCCCACAGCTGCTGCCATTTCAAAGACATTCCCCTTTGTCCTAAAACTATAATAAAAAATTGCTTTCCACTGCCAGAGGGCAGGGTTAGATGGAATATTTGGAAGGAATTGTTCTCTGTGAGGGTGGGATCCCTGGGAGTGTCCAAGGCCATTTTAAAGGTCCCTTCTAACCCAACCCATTCTGGATTTCTGTGAATTTACCCATTATAATGCTGTGTTCACCCTGGCAAAACTTTATTTTCTGTATTTAAAGGTGAGCTGCATCTTTGCCAGGCCCTTGGACCATTTTTGCTGGACTATCCCATACACTTCATGCTTTACCTTTGCCATGATGGAATCAAACTCAGCATTTCCTTCACCCTTTGGAGCAGCAATTCTTCACCTTTGCCACCTCCACAGCAGAAAGGGTTCAGGTCCTGTCTGTGCACGTTGCCATCCAAAAGCCTCCTTCATTTGTTCCTACATCCTTGCAGGTTTTCTCCATTAAGTGTTTGGAAAGCCAATATTTGGCTCACGTGCCCAGGTCTCTCTTGCTTGGCTAAACTTAGAAGCTGAGCACTGACCCAGGGTCCCCAGTCCCCTCCCAGCACTAATTTAGGTGGGAGATTGGTTTTCTCCCAAACCAAGCCACATCAAACATTCACTTCTAAAATATTCAAGGTCCTCTCAAGTCTATCAACTCAATTTTGTATCTGAAAGCACCCATGGATCACACTGCTCATCACCACCAAACTCACTGAGCTCTTAGAATTAGGTTTCCTCTTTTGATTTTCAGATGAAGAGGTGAGGATATGCAGGACACTCCTGTGTCAGACCCCTCAAGGGGAAAAACCCACATTGAAAATTGAGCCTGCACCCTCAGATCCTGAGCTGTGCATGGTCGAGAGGCAGCACACACAGATTCCATGTGCCCAGAAAGCTGCTTGTACCAAATAAATCATTGACACAGAGCAAAGGATCACTCAGGTTGCTTTAACAGAGTCCAGCTTGAGCAGTGGTCAGTGACAGCTCTGTGTTATCTGAAAGGGCAGCACAAATTCATTCATTCCCCGGGCACAGCCACGTGCAGATCCCCGTGGCTGGGAAGCCAAATTCTCCCTGCAGAGAGTGAGTGCTGACACAGGCTCTGAGTGACTGAGAAAGGGGAGCCCCCCAGGCAGGGGCTTAGCTGTGAATTAGACTGAATGATACAATTAATAAATTGAAAATCCAGATGATTTAAGGAAGCTTTGCAGCAGAATGAAATACCAGTCGTGTCCTAGGTGAGAAGTGCCAAGGCAGCAGACACTTCCCAGCAAACAAAAAAGAAAGAAGTGTCAGGTACATGGAGGGAGGATCAGTGGAGAGGGAGCAGGACCCTCCAGGTGTTCCACGCAGCACAGACCAGTCCCGAGTGCTACAATCACTGAATTACAAACGCTCCTGTCTGCTCTGCCCTCACTGCACCAACAGCTCTGCTTACCGTGAGTCTGGAAATCCTGCCCGAGGAGCAGCTCACACACAAAACAAGACTAAAACCCCCAGAACACTCTGCATGGGAAATTCTGCCTGGTACAAACCCATTTTTGCCTTTATCCCGAGCAAATTAAACGTGGGGGGAAGACACAAACCCAGCAGCAGCTGTGCCCAAGTGATTCTGATCCTGCGGTGTCTCGGGCTGGAGCAGCAGCTCTGCCCCATCCCTGGGCTGGCTTTGAGCCGTGGAGCCCCGCAGCACCTTCCTGTCCCCATCCCTCCTGTGCCAGCCCCATCCTCCACCTTGTCCCCCAGGGGAGCAGCCTGTAGGGAGGGGATAACTCACACCCCGGGCAGACCCGGAGCACATTTCAGCCGTAAAATCCAGTTTTCCTCTCAGCCAACAGAATTTCCCACTCGTTTCCACATCCCTCTCTTGAGCGGTAAATCCTCCCCTGCTCCGCTCACTCCGGGCTCGCCGGGGGCTCGGGGAGGCTCCTGCGACCCCCGGACCCCGCGTCCCCTGCCCCGATCGCCCCTCCGGCCGGTGCCGGGGATGCCCCGGGGGCTGCAGGTGCCGGCTCGGCCGGGACCCCCTGGCAGCGACCGGGACGTGCCCGGGGACCGCGACAGCCCCGCGGAGCCCCCGCAGAGCATGAGCGGAGAACTGCGATCCACAGCCCCGAGCTGCCCCAAACAACGCTCCGAGCTGTCCCAAAGGATACCCAGAGCTGTCCCACGGACACTCCGAGCTGTCCCCAAAGGACGATCCGAGCTATCCCACGGACACCCCGAGTTGTCCCATGGTCACCCCGAGCTGTCCCCACGGTCACTCCGTCCCCCCATCCCGTGTCCCGGTGCCTCCCCACGGACCCCGCGCTCCCCCCGGGTCCCCGGCTCGAAGGCGGTGCCGGGGCCGGTCCCGCGGGCGGTGCTGACCCGAAGTAGGCGGCGGCGGGCGGTGGCGGCAGGAGGAGGAGGAGGAGGAGGATGCGGCTGAGTTTGGCGGCGGAGCGCATGGTGCGGGCGGTGCCGGTCCCAGCTCGCTGCGGGCCGCCCGGCGCCGCGGCTCTTTAAGCGGGAGGCGGGGCGGCCCCGTCCCGTCCCGTCCCGTCCCGTCCCGTCCCGTCCCGTCCCACCGCCGCCGGGAACCCCCGGGGCTCCCTGGGGACCCGCC